ATATCAATTTGGGATTGAGTTACCGTTATAATTCTAGTTAGTTAACTAGAGGAGAATTATTCAGTTTCTAGTCATTGGCTAAGTGAGGGAGAAATCATTAGTTTCTAGTCGTTGGCTAACTGAAGGACAAATGATTAGTTTCTAGTCGTTGGCTAACTGAAGGATAAATCATTAAGTTTCTACTCGTTGGCTAACTGAGGGAGAAATCATTACGTTAGACAGAAATAGATAACACAGTCGGCAAGACCCTTTGTTCAGTTGTTAAGCATACATTCACAAAACAAAATCATACTAATGTTTAATATTTAGAATAAATAAATTTACTAGCATATTATTTCCGTCGGCACCTTTTTAAAATGTATCATTCAAGGTTAGAAACACACAAAATGTACGCCCAAACAGTGTTATTGAACACAGAATATCAGTTGAAATATAAGACTGTTTTTACATGTATCGATTACACGAAGTTATCTTTTCGCATAAAAAACAGATAACTTGCATTTAATGTGGGATTCAGAGGTTAACAATCTTCTGCAGTATTGATATATCATAAATGTTTACTGTTGTATAGAATGGCTGGATTTTCTATACACTAATAATAGAGTGACAAAAAACTCCGATAATGCCCAGTATATAGGACTATAAAGTGTGTTGGTATGTTCTTAATGCGGAAATGTTCATATAACCCTACATGCATCAGTAAGCATGTCCAAACAAATATCGATTATTGGTGAGAGTTTTGTTTGTTCTATCAAATAATTTTTTGTTTTAATTAATTTTAAGACCATTTCCCAACCATTGCTACAGATGTTAGGAACTTGTATGTTTCTAGTCGAACAAAGATTTGTCCTTTCTTACTGTCTGGCACAAGTCTATGGGCAGGGCCTAATGTATTTATTGATTATAATGTATATAACCGGAACTACCCAATCTTCAAAGTGGTTTGATGTAATAGAGTTTATGTATTGTGTACTGATGTATGTGAAAGCCTTTAAACACACATTATCTGCTTGTTCTTGTGAGAGTAGTTACAACAGATTATGTATGATTCAGAGATAAAAGAGAACCACGGCACTCATCTTTAAATCTTTGACAACAAAGGTCAACAGATTAAACTGGTCTGTTCGCTATATCTGACAAGGAGGGACGACGCATTCACAAGTTAACGCAGGCTTTTTTGAGTACCGCCTCGCAAGCTATTTGTACAATGTTGTCTACCAGTTGTATTCGTCATGAATAACTTATTACTGTCGTATTTACAAGACTATATCTGACGCCATCAAGGATGCAGATGTACACAAAAAAATCTCCCTATTATTTATAAAGCAATTCTCCTTTGTGACGAAAAGAGAATTTCAAAGACGGGAAGACATGCATTCTCTTTACAACACTCATGTCAAAAATCATAATCTGAAAGACATATATGTCTTTCTCCTGATTGCGGAACACGTTTTAAACAAAAATGAATGATAGTCAAGTGCCCAACAACTGAAATAATTGTATGCACGGGAATCAGTTAATGTGAGGGTCTGTATAAGAGGAACAATCACATATGTAGTTCTTGGATCATGATTTGATGTAATGAGGTACATATATAATAGAACGAGGTGTGTCGACGATGCAGTATCATGCTCCTACATCGCTCGGCGTGGTTATCAATGTTATATGAGGCTTGGGAATTCACTATTGTAGTCAACCTTGATTGCATTCCTCGAACGACGACGAACAAACAATATCAATCTATAAAATGAAATACGCACTGAATGGGATCATTTCCGGAACGGAAAAAGGTTCTCTGTGCAGCCTTGATTAATTCTGTTTTACTATCCATTGGAATGGCACTGTACTTGTGAGGGATAGACTGTGCAGTAGTTGGTTGCTGTACGACCTGGTGTGGTCTGTGGCATGTCCACCATTATTGGCAGGATACCTGTCGACACCTGGCACAGGAAGAGAGATTAGCTGGATGACACGTCACCATTGATTTGTTTACAACACTCTCGACTTCGTTGTTTTCACACAAGGTATACTCTGAGTGATGTTAATGCTTTGGAACTATTACAATGTATACTTCGCCTAAGCACCAAGAGTTTTCAGGAAGTTTTTAGTGAAGGAAATTAGTTATTTTAGAACATCGAAGAATCCGTCTTCTAGGCAGTGATAAAGGTAATTTGGACCCTTTTTGTTGTAAGTATTGCATCAAATCGTGACAAAACATTTACTAGCTTTTATGGTGATGTACTAAAAGACCACCCGGGTATAAAGTTTATAGCAATAAAAGTTAATTGTCAACTATGATATTGGAGATATCAATATATGTTATATATTGTTTTGTGTTTTGAAATTAATGATATTACAAGGAATTTACCGATGTCTTTAATATACCACATAACTTACATCAAATACCTTTCAACCAACTGGGATGTATTTTAGAATAACTCATTAAAACGTCCTACTGTTATAAAGGCCACAATACGATAACCAGGTGTGGTTTTCTTCATTATATGTGTGAAACTTGTAACGAATAGAAGCGAATGTAGATCTAATTTCCGGAATGAATAAACACATCATTTAGTTTTCCAATGTCGTTTATATTGCACTGGTGTATTTATGTAAACTTTGAGTCCTGTTTTGTTGACTGTTGTCAAGGAGCTTAATTAGATATCCACCGAAATGTACTACAGTGACAGATGTATACATGTATATATTGGTTATGCATGCTTAAGCTGCCTGAATATAACTTGTCAGTGGTTATTTTACACTATTTAAAATACCGAGATAAAGTATACGGAGTTTTGTGTTCTTAATGTTCGAGGAAGTGATAGATTTGAAATGTATGCATCACATGTTAGTATCAATTTTAATTTATTCTCATTTCATTCTTAATTATGCAACTGCATTGGCAAATTTTAGGGTTTTATTGAAAATTGTATGATTGTTGAACACTCGTTTTTAAATACCTGTACACAATATACGATGATTGTTATTGATTTATAAGAGATCCCCCGAGACAGATCATAGTATGGTATAAAGGCATTATAAACGAGTATTTAAGTACGGTTATACCTAGGAGATTTCATGCTACACTTACGTCTACTGGGGTGGATTTTTATCTTACAAATGGTCCCATAGCCTATCACATTAACATCAAGGACCTTGCCCATTATATCCTTTTGATATATCGGTAAATAACTCTCGATCCGGACATGAAAGCTCGCCTCACCACCTTCCATTAGTATGATCCCGGGCATTCTTATGATAAGTTGTCTTATGTGGTGTAAGGATGATATCACAACCTGCACCATCCACTAACAGGTCTTCTTCATGAATATGTATACAACAATCAAAACACAATTTGCATTTCTCAATATTGTTTACGTCTGTCTGTTGATGGCAAAGCCCCAGACATTGCCACGTTAGGTGGTTTGATAGATTAGTGAAGACTGACGGAGGCTACGTTTGTGCAGAGAGATTGGACTACTCTGTACATATTCCATAAAGAACACAGAGGTATGAGATAAGTTACCAGACTACATGTAATTAGTGTATGAAATAATCTACATTTCTCATTCGGAGACACGTTATATATTTCTTTCAAGCAGGAAGTTAAGGTATCGATGATGATAGCAAGGCATTCTAAGTTCCACGTACCCAGTTGTTTGTACTACTGACCATTCCTATAAGGACGAAACTACTATGATACAGCTTAATCCATTGCTTGGCTCTACCATATCTAATTTCATTTTTAAAGACGCTGTCCTCTTTTATATAATCTTGTTGTGTTTGTTTTTTAATCTTGTATAGAGTACACATTATATTGTAGATATTTATATCATGAATGTGTTTGTATCATAATGATCAATAGTAACTGCTGAAGAAACTCTCTCTGTGTATATAGTCTTACTTCCAGAATGTGATCTGTCTTAGGGATTTTAAAACTTGTTGAGGGTGAAATATCGGCACTAACAAAAAGTATGTTGTTTGTTTTATCTTTAGTTTATATATCAAATATCTATACTAAGGGATGAAAGAGTTTTCGTAGCTAATAGGAGATTTTCACCAGCCATTACTTCGTGGAGATGTCTCATGTGTATCCACTTTTGATGATAAATTGTCAAGTGTTATTGCTTTACTATTTTGACATCCCGATTGATGAGAGAGATAGTCTATTCCAAAACAGGGACTTGCATTCATGAAATTGAATCATAAAATGAAGTTAACAATCTTATAGCCAAGGGACCGTGGCCATCTATGACCATGAACCTGGAGACCACCATGCCTTAGGAACTCCCTACAAGCTTGTTGTACCAGCTTTCGGACTTAACAATTACCACTTACACACTTCTTTAACTTAAGTTAACTGAGAGTATTGCCGTTAGATTAGTTGTGAAAAGATAGATGAATTCAGCGAAAAAAATGTGAACGTTTGAACACGCAGTAGGAAGTAACTTTTACGTGTCTTATCTACAAAATGGCTTTCTTAAAGTAGTATGACCGTGATTTTTATACATAAAGGCAGGCAATTAATTTCATCTACTCTTTATATATTAGTATGTGATATGCGAAAGAGCATGCTCTATTAATTATCTGTAAATATATGGTATATTAGATCAATTGGTTTATATATCCCCTTCGCAAAGACGGCTCTCATGTGTCGGCACCCATTGCCAAGAGGTGAAGGTCCGCAAGTTATGCACTAGGACTTGGCTCAACTAGAGCCCTCTGCTGTGTTTGGAGGCGTTTTTGTGTTCAAACAATAACGATAATATTGTTAGAGCAACGATAGAGACAGGCCGTCAACGATCTCGACTTTGTCATACAAAGTCATAACAGATTTATGCGAAGTAGTTACAAACATAAATCGAACCAGCAATGATGCAAGGTAGAGATGATCTAAGTCGGTTGTACAATAATCAAAATCATAAACTAAATGTTCTTCAATTCTAGTGATATAAAGTATATCTTCGCTTATTCTCAATTTTATTTTTTAATCTTTTCAGCGACACGACCGAGGAGCGGGAAGAAGAAAACTTGCGACCGTCCAGCAAGTCGGACGACGCCCCGTGTTCCTGTCTTCTCAGGAAATCAGGTGCACGGAGACAGACCGTACAGTCGAACTACGGGCCGTTCATCTCCCATCCGTTTGTATGCTAAAAGTCCAACCATCATTAGCGAACGGGTATATAGTGCCTACGCCAGGAGTCGCCCGTCAACTGGGAAAACTATGCAATCAAAGAGCCACACCATGACGTCAGCAGCCAGATCGGAGCGGGAAACCAGCTCCAGCTTCCGTTCCATTGATCCCGCTTTCATTGAGGTCAGCAAGGACGTCATGGGAGTCAGTATTTGGAGAATTGAGGTAATGTTTCTACATCGAAGGTTAAGTTATCAAATTTCTGGACATTAAGAATCATAAGTATAACTTTATAGGGTTGCGTCATTAGTATTCTTCTTTATAGCGCAGTATTCTATATTTAGGTGTTGATATAGATAAAAATTGTTATCAACAGCAGCTGTTTATGTAACAATTTAACTATATATTTAGATATTTGGTTTTGATGGCTGTGACTTTACAGATGTAATTGGATTCATTGTTTTTCTTTTGTGTAGAATTAATTACTTTTTACGATTCACGAACATTCGTCAATTGTTAGAGATCACTAATGGAGAAGGAAACATGTCTTCCATTCTATTGCATCATATACGGTCGATACGAGATATTAAGTTTCTGATCATCAAGTGTGAAATACACTGCCATGACAGACGCTGTATATAGCGAGTAAATAATTAAAAACACCGACCTGTGGAATGATTTATCACAGTTTAAATATCACTGTTGCTATGCTGTCCTGAAACATTTCATGTCATATGCGTGTGAACAATTTTGGCGTCTACAAGCTGCGATCTATATAACATTATTATATATGTTTTCTTGTCATGAGAAATAATTGAATTTATTACTATTAATATATCACACAAGGAGGTAATCGTAAAATCCGTAACACTACATAAGGATAGTTAGGTCTGATTGCGAACAATCCCATGCTTCAGTAGTTCTGTATAAGGACAAGTGTAACGTGATCTACAGACGAGAATTATCCGGGTCAGTGACACGCTTTGTAGGCCCTGGGATCTTCACAACTGTACATTTAAACCTCACAGTGACACAGATGACAAGATTGCAGTGTTTAATTAGGATGTTTGGGACGATTAGCGACAATGGCGATCATGTTGATACAATAAAGAGACGATAAGACTTAAACCCTTGAGAACTATTTCATAACTCTCTTGTGGGGCTATGAATTCCCGGTTGGAGTAGTTTATTATAACTTAATTCGTCACCCGATTTCAGCACTTGATAAAGCGTACGAAAATAGATTTCAGAGCGCTAAAGTGTGCTCTTTCTATGAGAACTAGGTCTGTAATGACAGAGATATACAATTGAATATCTGATGAATCAGCTGTAGTTGTACTGCACATGTGTTTTTGTGTATTGACATGCCTGACATTGTGCTGTTGTGTCTTGAGAAGATTTCTTAATGGATATAAACTTTGAAACCAGTTTAAAATTAACGTATTTCCCATTAACTTTATATAGGCATGAAAGAACACACCTTCGGTAAAATATTGAACAATTCAAATTAACATTACATGTGCTTGCCATTTCCATAGCATACTGTTTGCATATTTGGTAATGCTTTTTGTTAAAAAAGAAACTACTTGTGTTGATTTTTAATCAGGCAAGAAACAAGCATGCACTCGCTTGCGATGATAGAATGCTTGTGTTTGAGATACTTATGGCCATCCACATCTTACTCGTAATATTGAAGCAGCTTCGAAAGCGACACATAAGATTGGAAACAATTGTGAAGTGAATCGTATTGGTCAACAAGTAGAAGTAGGGGGAAAAGATAATTCAGCATCTGGAACATTATACACAGGCATGCTGGCGGTTTTTTCTCCTATGATTACTATTGAGTGGCATAAAACAGCAAAAGAGTTCTTTACCTTCTCAGCACAAAGCTTGATATCTTGTCTTTTTTACAGAATAAGATAAAAGTGGTTAAGATAGATGAAAATGAGCACGGCTTTTTCCACGAGGGAGCAGCATATGTCGTGTTAAAGGTAAGCGGATCAGGTTACCAGAAGTTTGTCGATGAGACAACCTATTGCCCAGAACGTTTTTTCATTAGTCGGCTTTGTCGACACCAAAACGTAACCCCCACCCCACCCCAACTCCTCTCCATCACTCTGCCTCGAATTAACACGAATTGTCACCAAATCAAAACCAGAAAGCTTTTTGCTGATGTATCCTACTTTCTGATTAATACATGGCTATAGATCTACCTTCTTACAGAAATATATTATCACAGGTTGAATATAATACAGAAACAAAAACAAAAAAATAAATAAACAGCATGGTACGAATGGATAGATATAGATCCAAAACTGATATATATGTATACACATACATTAACGCATTGCATAGAACACTTATCACAAAATTGTATATAGAAATTGTGTGCTACAGATTGATGCCGAAGAGATAACTTCCTTACACTACTGGTGCGGGCTGGCGTGTCCAGAGGTATGTTATCAATATCAGATCTTTTCACAGGTAAACACATTCACATTCCCCCAGTCTACTCTTTAAAGTTATAAGAACAATAGTTTTCACCAGAGGAAATGAAAAGAAGAAATTTTAAAAGAATAGTATTTTTGATGAATATGTGTCAGATCCTTACTTTTCCAATCTTTGATACTCTATGTAACGATAAGAATTTAAAAAATGTTTTTGTGATATTTTCCAATTAGTGATCTTACCTGAGTGTCGATGCAAAGGCGAGTGAAATATCAATTTATTGAAATCGTTTAATGAATTCCATAGACCATCGGCACCAGTGTAAGAATTTGTTTATTATATACCATGTTTTTCTTGAAAAATAAACGAAAACTTTTTATTAATTGCCATACAAAGACATTTCGGCGCAGACGGTACATTTTTCATCACCGAGACAATCATATGACGTCATTGACACGTGACTTGCTTATGTCGTCACAATATGATATGATATTCATGACATGGCTGTATAACATGGCACGAAAAATCGATTATGTGATATACGTTTTTACCATATTTTGGCAACAATGTTTCGAAAGAAAGAAAACAACAAAAATAGTTAAACGTTTGTTATCCTGCAATTTACTTGTAACTGTTACAGGCGGAAGCTAAATTAATAGAACAAAAGGCACATGAACTCGACAGAATCCTTAACTATTCTACACTGTTCTCTAAAGAGGTAAGTACTACTTTTGGAGATTTTGTTTTGTCTTAAATAATGACCTTGGCGTGTGAAGGTAACCTGTAATTACCGTCATATTGTTTTAAGAAGATGATAAACTGTAGTTTATAGTTTATTTCAACCTATGAACAATCCTTGAATGTATTGCATTTCAATAGACGTAATAAATCTTAACATTTCAGACCCAGAATCATGAGTCAACATGTTTCCTCCGACTTTTCCCAGAAGGCGTGATGTAAGTGGGTTTTTTTTTATGTATTATTAACTTTCAGTACGTAACAGTGAGTGAAAATACATTTATCGCAGACCATCTGTTAAACAGGATCAATTCTAGGCGTTATCTTTTCAAACATTTTACAAGAAATGAAGAGTGTTAATGACTATACAAATCCTTTTTTTCAAATGTGACGTGTTGTGCTATTGTTTTGTATGCAGATACAAAGCTGTCGTTTTTGTAAATGTTCTTGCAGGCTTGCTGAATTATGGTTTACCTTGTGCCCTGAAAAACTGCTAAAATCACATGAAATGATATTTTTCTCGTTTAGATACATTGAGAATAAACCAAAGACAACGGTCAGCAGAGCGGCAGCATATATCAAAAGGATGTACCGAGTGATGGGCCGGAAGTACATCCGAGCTGTTTGTGTAAGTAGTCCTACATATCATTGGAAATAAACATAATCTATTATTCAGCAATGTATTATTGTTTTGTTAAACTAGTGTATCATATATTTATTTAAAAGAGACATTTGATATAAAACTAAATTGATATAGATATGAACGTGGTTGTAATGTCCATTGTACCAAACCAGATGGAACCCTCTCTCAACGCTCTGGATTCTACCACTGCCTGTATACTGGATGGACATCCAAGGATGTATGTGTGGGTGGGAATGGACTGTCCCTACAGTACTAGGTTAAGGGTATGTCATTTCTGGCTATTTTACTTAATGCTGTAACAATCTTTGATTTCTTACAATGTACTTCCGTAACTCTGTGAATGAACAAATACTCATTATTCTTTATCTATCTTTTTACTTTTTATACTTTTGTTCGTCTTCGCATTTGTAATTGTCAAATGAATTGTCGAAGAGTTTATTTACTGTTCGTATGATGTTGCTTTTATTTTGAAATTCATATTAAAGTTACACTTTCTGGAGGCGATTGATTCTTCTTCTGGAATTTTTACAAGGAACAATTTTCTGTTTAGGCGATCAATTTAGCGAAGAAATTCCGGAACATGCAAAGGAAGGGAATCGCACATATAATAGTAATAGGTGAGTTGACAAGGATTTTTGAGAAATGTTGAACTATTTAAACAAAATGTAGGGCGATAGATAAGGTTTGCAGCTATAATTACAGATTTATATATATATATATACATAATTATTCCCACTGACGAGTGTGGAATTGATGAAAAGCATTCCTGTGTTTGACTCCTTGTATTGACAAAATTACATTCAATAAACACTGATAGCTATGTATTTATTGTTTCCTGATAATACTAATAATCAGGTTCCATCATGGATGAATTGATTATGCTAGCTTTTTTACAAAATAATTTAATGGTTATAATGTCAATTGATATTATCTGTAATTATATTAAAGATGAGAAAGACGAAAGTATGAATATGGCCTTCCGAAAAAAGCTTCCTAATGGTCACACTTCATTGACCAACGGTGATACCCCATTAGTGGATGATGACCACACAGAACCCGGAACTGTTTCAGCAAAGGGGACAAGGAATACTGTACTTCATAGGTTAGTCTGCTATTGGATTGTAAAAATCACAAGTGAATAGAATTTGATAAAGTAGAACCAAATGATGAATCAAATTGAATAATACAGCTATTTCATCAGTGATGCAAAGGGCCTAAATTATTGAATCCGAAGAGGGGATTCATGATAATCCAAATAAATGGAAATTAATGCTAAATACGAGATGGGGAGGAGATGCATTAGCCCATTAATTCAGTAGATTTTGTAACTTTTGATATTTAATCATTTGATATTAGTAATATTAGTATATTAGTAATTCAGATAAAAATGGAGGTTTACATTATTCTAATAGCCAACATGCCCCTTAAACCAAAGTGAAATATTCTTATTATACCATATATATATTGGTGTCTCTCAAACGGCAATTGCGGTACAAACTAAATCCTTATTTTTGACAGAGTGAGTGGAGGAAAGGTCATGTATGACATGCCAGAGGCTTCACGCTGTCCTCTATACCACAAATACCTCGTCCGAAGGGTAAGTAGCAAATTAATGATGCTCTTAAAATCAATTTATTCTTCCGTGCAAATTATATAATAAATTTGTTGGTACATTTTTAGAACTACCCATATCTTTAGCACAGTTGATTATTGGTAATGATTTAAGCTGACTATGCATTACTAGCAACATTCCTGGATTTTCTATGTTTAGGATAGCTACCTATTAGATCGAGGTCCAAACGCTCCAATGTATGTATGGGTTGGACATGAAGCGACTGAAGGAGCAATTAGTCATGCTTTATTACGTGGCAAGGTATGTTCGATCCATTGTTGTGCACATTGTAATTGTAGGATCGGTCTCGATTGTAAATTTGTATACAATGTGAGTGCCAGTTGATTATCATGATCAATCCTGATAATTTGATTACAAGAAAGAAAAGCATTTTTTGTTATAGTGTTTAGTATTTATCTACTTCACTGTTTTCAAGGTCAAACAATGATAGCGTTGACTTCAAGGAATACATTGTTCAGAGTGTAATTATAATTAGTAATTTTTTATATCATGATATCCGCACGAAAGCGAATTTATATATATATATACAAAATTTATTCATATGTTTCCAGTTTGTCACTTAATCGATAAAATCAACACGATAATAAATGTATATATTTTAATCTGCCAATACCGTAGATTGACTAGAAAAAATATCATTGGGAATCTATTTATGCTGTTGCAACAGGCATTCTGTGAGCATCGGAACTATCCATCAACAATAACGGTGTGTCGACTGAGGGAGGATCACGAACCGACAGAATTTAAGAAAAACTTCTTTGATTGGCGTGAAACAGATACCAAACGTCGACAACTGACGAAAAAATACAGTATTGGAAATATAGGTATATGAGTATCTAGTATCTAATAGTCAAAGGGTGGTCTAAAGACGTAAATCACGACATATTAACGTATATCATATTGTTCCTTTTTATTTTATGTTAATATTTGTCAATTTTTGACAACTAATAAGCTCGGAAAAAAGGGAGAAATTTACTACAGAAAAGTTTTCTATGTACTTTTTAAATTACAACGTTGTACAAGACACACAAGTGAATAACATCTTTCGATATAAGTTGAGAAAAAGATAAAGTAGAGTCAAACAATCAGTTGAACTGAAATTGTGATAACCATCCTACCTTTTCCTACCTTTACACAGGTTAATAAGTGTATGCTCTTTCTTTCTACTCAGTATATAAACACAGTGTCTACGTATGTGTGTACTCTCAATCCCTATATTATCACTTCAGATGTCAATGATTTTCGTTTTCGCAGAACGAGCTTTGTTCTCCACGAAAGATAACAGGACAGTGGCTAAGATGAACGAGCATTGGTCAGATGATGTGTTTCCGGACGGTGACCCAGAAACGGAGGTGACTGATTACAACATTTTCTTTTCATTGTGATAAGTTAAAACAAATAGTTTAATCAAGGGATGTATGGGAAAACAGGACTTTTCATCGATACAAGGCAAAATGATAAATATCGAATATCGCCAATCTAATAGGAGCCATTCTACAAATATAATTAATAAAACAAGTGATCACTTAGTCAAGAAATTGATATAAAAGATACGAAGATGATAACTACCCGAATATGTTTTTCTTACTGGTGTTTCATTTTCTTATTTTCTTAATTATCAATACTCTCATTTAAACATCAACTAATCCTGTATGTAATACTGTATTAGGTCTGGCGCGTGGATGGGGACAAATTGGAACAGGTGCCGTGGGACCAACATGGGGTGTTTGTGAATGGACAGTGTTACGTGATCAGACATCGGATTACAGAGGCGGAGGACAGTGTACATACCCTTCTGTACTACTGGCTGGTAAGTAAATAAGTTTTTGTTTAGGTAAAACGACAAGGGAGGGAACTCTCGGGGAGATAATGATACAGACGTTGACATGGATTTTAGGGGCACTCTCAATGCGCTCTAACTTTTTATTCCAGGGATCAAAAAGTCCAGAGAGTGTTCAACAAACAACTACAGATCTGGTATTGGACATGAACAGAACAGTAGGATACAAGTGTGTTTTAGTAAGTACCCTTGTACGCTAGTTATGATAGATTATACAGTTGATGTGATCGTACTGACACGTAAATGAGTATGCAGATGTTGGATTAATAGAACAGTGCAGTGTTTTATTGATTTATATGTTTATCTAAATATTATTAAAGGAAATGAGTGAAATCTATCGGTGACTATTGCCCATTACCTCCGATAAATTTGCTGAACACCCACATGTGACAAGAGTAACATACTGTCGATTCCGTTCGTTTGTTTGGTATATTGTAGTAAATCTTTGTGATTGACGTCTGATGTATATGTATGATGGATTGAAGGTATTCTTCCACATGATCAGTCGTAATATCAGAAATTGGCATCACTATTCAAACATCTGATAGCATACTAAAGATACTTTACTGTAAAACATTAATGTTAGTGGGTACATTATTTCATGGTTTGAGCCTAATAATCCTTTAAATATTTCATGCTATTACATCGTCTGAAGTCTCTACTGCGTGTCATTTTCGCGGTTAATCTATAATCCTAAAATCGTGCTACACCATTACCATTTATATTCAGATATACCTTTAGATATTTAGGCTCACTGATAACTAAACACCGTTACATTATCAATCCAATAGTGTTTTTTTATTATGATCTTTACAGATCCCTTAATGTTCACAAACGACCTCTGATTTCTAAAACATTATGCAATAGACTCACACGCGAATAACATCTTTGAATACATGTTTATATTTAGATACACTAGAACCAAACAATGAATCTGCATCATAAAGCTGTTTTATCCTCCTAGAACTCGTCATTGATGCTACACCATAAAGCTGTTTTGTCCTCCTAGGACTCGTCATTGATGCTACATCATAAAGCTGTTTTGTCCTCATAGGACTTGCCATTGATGCTACATCATACAGCTGTTTTTCCTCCTAGAACTCGTCATTGATGCCAACGGCCTAAATGTTAAACCCAACACTTCTCACCTTACTTTCTTTTTTTAAAGATACGAGTTTTGGATGAAAAAGAACCTCCTCACTTTATGTCCACTATACAGAATAGTATTCTAGTGGTAAGTATCTTTTTGTGACTATAATCAATTATCGTCAACAACACCAATCGTAGGTGTATGGCATTTGACAATGCGGCGGCGCCGACGACGATGGAAATAACGATGATGATTGTAATCATTATTTCTTATTAACAAAGAGATCAGAAAATAAACAATAATGACAAAAATTTTGACGTTTTCGATTTCATTATCACTGAAGACATTTATTCATGTAATTGTTCTCTTCTGACAGTATGATCAGGATGTCCAGGACAACCCTACAGATCGACAAATGTTCTGTGTCAGAGAGTTAGAAAACGGCAGTATGAGGGTACAACAGGTACATACAAGTTGGAGAAAATAGTCTTCGGTCTTTGTTATATGAGCGCTTAACTGTTTCTTAATGATATTTTTTTTCTTTAATTAGTGTGAAATAAGATCTTACTTCGTACTCAAATAATTGATACAAAGACAAATACAGATATAAATATTCGCAAAGAGGCATTCAAAACATTGATTATGAAAAATGAAATCATAATGAATTTTGTTATGTTAATGTTCAGAATTTCATGTGTAGGTGCCGGCTTCATCTGAATGGCTTAATACATCGGCGTCTTTCGTTGTGATGACGTCATCCGGGTGCTATTTATGGTTTGGAAAGGTAAGAAAATATAAAATTCGTACTGGAAATATAAAGTATTGAAAAAAGAATGTAAAAAGAAATAGAGTCATTCACTGAGATGAAATTACTTAATCATTTTTTTTATGTTCGTCCAGAAATCAGGAGGTCCTGAACGAGAATATGCCAAGAACTTATTGGGATTCCTCAATCCGTCAAGGTAAGTATGCACTTTACAAATTTACAACTTTTTATTCATCTTTTTCAAAATGGTAGCGTCGATATTTTTCTTTACTTTAATTTATTTCATTAGATACCGTTATTTATATTTTTTAGAATGTACACTTTTGAAATTGCGACCGAAGGTAAAGAGGGTAATGCGTTCTGGCATATGATGGGACCAGAGGCAGATCATCCCAAGGACTTCACAGAAGATGTAAGTATAACTTATATATATCTAGTAGGCTTGTACAAAAGATACAAAGATTCAACACGAATTAATAATCAGAGGTAATATATGATATATATATAGACTGTTAAACTGCACCATTAAGTCGTTTTACTAGGACTCGTCAGTGATACTTACACTAGGCCCAAAAATGTGGTATGAGATAGGAGGAAATCAGAGTTAATCACATTCAGTGTCAAAAATCGTACAACAGGCACACACGTAAATAGCAAATACAAATTTAGAATAAGATCTAGTAGAGCCAAACAATGAATTAAACATACAGCTGTTTCAAACTTCTAGGAGTGATCGGTGATGCTAAAGGCATAAATTTCGAAGCCTAGGAGGCGACTAAGGAAAATCCAAAATGATCGAAAGAAAAGTAAACATTTTGACGTGGAGGAGCACAAGTCCATAATAAATATATTTCGTAATTTTCTTGTTCGATAGTTTAAGAGAACTACGTACATGTGTATATACAAAACGTGTGGGTGGGGGCATAAAATCAAGAAGATAGGTATATATCATTCCATTGTTTTTTAACAACGGTAGATATGTGTAAGTATCATGTATTATTTTTTACAGAAAATGGAACGCCGGCCTCCCCGAATGACTATCTGTCATGTTGGCCAAGACTCCCAAAATAGATTTCATGACATCGACAACTTTACACAACAGGTAAAGCAATGTTACTTTCTAACTACTATAAAATGTGGTTTTCAAAGAATAATTGATATTGCAATGCAAGCTGAAATATCTAGTCTTATGTTTAAACTAGTTAGAATGTCTTTATTAACGCTATCCGAGTACTAATCTCGTAAAGTCATACGAAGAAACCTTTACTCTGTTAGGCAATATAATTTCGAGCTTAAAAATTCCAGTTTCAATACATTTTCTTTCAATATTTCAAGATGGGAGATTGCAGATTATTATTGTAATAGAGTGATTACTACTAAGTTTTAACTTTGTTATCCCTCACAGGATCTAACGGACTCGGAAATGTTCATTCTCGATACCTTTGATCTGGTAAGTGTAATTACTCTTCGTACTGCAATGCATTTACTGAAGACATACAAGTAAACAGGTCATTTTATTACAAACCTAGATTCGATTGAGTAAAATAACGAATTGAACTGTGTAATAGAGTTACTTAGTATGGCGTTTCTATTGATTTCATGTGATGACGTCAATGACTGCGTGGAATTCACTTCCTCTTGTTCACTTTGCAATAATTTTAAATTGTTTGTGTTAAATATGTAGAAACACGACGCAACGTTGAATTCACTTTTATAATATTTCCTGAAATCGCAGAAATTTGTTTTCATTTTTATTTCCCATTATTTTTTCAAGTAATGTTGACAATATAAATATATATATTTAGAGATAATTTGATTCCGAAAAGACAAGATTGTTCAATCCAGGCATAAACAAGTCTACGAGATATGTTAGGGAAATGTGGAAAGTCACGTTTAGAAATTTGATATGTACTGTTTTGCCTACAATGATGATTTCTGTGTATTTGGGTACGATTACCAGATGAAAATTTTGAGTGTCTGGCTTATACATCTTACAGGTGTACTTATGGATAGGATCCTCGATGGACGATGTTGTCAGATCTCAAGCATACAATATCATTAAGGTAGGTCAAACCGAAAGTCAGCAAAAGACGTGAAAATCTAAATCAAAATTTCTCTGAACCGATAAGTTGGTTATCTAAAACTCTATACAATTTGGCCAGAACAATTGTTCTCAATATAATTTTTCTTATCCGAATTCCAGACCTTTATCGAATATGGTCAAGATTTACGTTTGCTTTGATAACATTCAAAATCATGATAAATTAAAATAAATGTCCATAGTACATTTTGTTACATGAAATCATATTATTCACATACATAAAGATTGTACCTGTTTTTCTATCGCCTTCCTATCTACTTCTTTCAAAATAGGCCTACATGCGTAAGGATCCTGCAGGACGTACCTTCGATTCGGTACGTGTGTGGATGACGTCACAATACCACGAGTCTGAAACATTTACGAAGTATTTTAGGCGTTGGTCGAGTAATGGATACTGTGTAAGTATAATTAAGTCTTCCTATCTAGACCTCCAGAAATAGAATTTCCTATCTAATAATTTTATAGCTTTCACTTTTTATAACACGTAATTCACGTTTATTTTCATTATAGAACAATGCCGTTGGCCATTTGGTTTTGTTAAAATCATAACCAATAATTTTCCTTGCATTCCCTCCAAATAATTAGATTTGTTTAGGAGACCCAAAATTATATTTAACATTTAAAGAAAATAATTTCAATTTATTCCTTTGATTATAACGTTGAAATTTAATTAACACAGTGATATGATATGTACGTGAACAAGAAAATGTGGACTCATAATTTAAACGTTAATAATACTATCTTGAAATGGAAATTGAAATAGCAGACATTAGAGTTAATTAAACAAAATCTTTGTTAACGTACAAAAGTGTTTTTAATTACTTAGCACTTCAACAAATGACAAAAACGAATAATGCGTCATAAATTGTTTTTTGTTTAGCTTTGCATCATTAACCAATATTCCCGATTTCTGAATGCTAAAAGAATGTATCTTGAATTTCAGGGGAAAGACAAATATGAATCCTCTCGGAAAAGGATCAGACAGGAAAACGCACAAATAGATGTAGATCAACAGGTAAGGGGAGACAACCTTCAGTTATTATTGCTAGTATGTATGCGTCAATAAAATATTATTACCTCTGCAAATAAATGTGGATCTTTTTCATGAAACATATTGCAATTGTTTAAAATATTCTACTTCAACACATATTACTTGTCATTCAGTAGTCCAGAATGATGGTTATTACAAGAGAGATTAATATGCCTGCCTCTGAATATACTTCACGAATAAATACAGAGAGATACATTTTGCTACATACATATATAAAAAATATGTATGCTTCATTGCAGATGGTAGACAAGTCACACATGAACTATCCGAAACATGATTACCGACTTCTCCTACGGGAAGAACAGCCAGAAGACATCATAGACCAGCACAGAGAGGTGACTACACGTTCTTACTACTGATTGTAACCCTTACGATAATACCTACACTATCTAAAGTCGGATGTTGCCCACTCTTAATGTTTGTTGTAGTCCAATTTTGTATTTAGTATTTCGCCAGATGTAAAAAGACAGGCAACAACATTTTTCATGACGTGACGAGTAATGAATAAAACCGCATTTGTATAGTGTAATACTAGTATTGATTATCATAAACATCATATGTAACATCATCGAGGAACTGTCCAATCAAAATTAAGAATTATTTTACTTCTGATGAACAGAAATTATCACAATGTTATTGTCCTTTATCTCAAGGAAGGTAGCATTTCTTACGTATTATCTGAAGATAACAGTATGGACGTTCATTATCTCGAATCGATCCATTATAATAACATTAGTGACCATTATATCATGATATAATTATATAACACGTGGCCAGCTATATATTGTCATCACGTGACGTAGACTATCTAGTTCTATTGGTAGATTATAATTGTTGAAATGATATCACATAAACATACTAGTAGTGGCTTTGCATGTTGTATCCGCCTTCGGCATTATCTCCGTTTCTACTGATAATTATTACCGTGTTGAGGTTTTTATTGCCATTTACAAAAATATGATCAATTCATGGTTTTTTTAATATCTTTTAGTTCCATCTGACCGACAAACAGTTCTGTGACGTCATGCGACATAGCCGGCCTGAGTTTTACCGACTCCCTGAATGGAAACAACAGCAAATCCTACGATCAACTCGTCTCGCATATATACCCCCTACACCAACACCTCTCGCCATCAGCACCCCGACCCCTCGTGAAGCGTGACAGGACATTTAATTAATAAAATCATTTTAGCACTTGCGTTACTCATCCTGATTACAAGGAGAGAGCATCGGCTAAAGGACGCTGGTGACAATGTCGTTTAGAGAATATCGTTGAGTAAAACGAAAATGAGAAAAATGCTTTCTATAAACCATTATTTATTCATATGAAAAATGAGCTGAAAAATCATTTCAGGCGTAAATAAGAGTCAGAAACATGTCTAATCGTACTGATTAGTATCTGGTAACGCTTGCAGTGAATCAAACTGCATCTCTCTACATCAATGAATGAAACTGACGATTTTGGTGCGTAACTGCTATCAGAATTCGTGTTTGTTGGTGTAGACACAATAGATTTGGTATACCGATACTAAAATAGGTCTAGGTCTTATTTTGACCTAATTGGTAATTGGACAGAGAACATTTATCATTATTTATATATACAATTACTCAGGGTATATCTAACTGAGGGAAATTGAATTGGTTATACCCTTTTTGGAGGTAAGTTGACGGTATCGTCTAATTCGTATGATAAGTTTTTAAGTATGTATATCCTAATTGTCTGTATGCTCTGGTCTCATTTGAATGCAAATGTAGCGTGGAATATGTGAGAATGCATAGAAATAAAGATAGTGTGAATTATTGACACTGAAATGGCAGTAAAAGTAGGTGTGAATAGAAGTTGAATGATAATTCGAACAGTTTTGGTTGATTGTTATCATTGAGATGTTATATCATTGCGTCATCACTGTAATTGGTTGTGCTAGATAAATGCCTCTGTAATCATGCCTCATGTATGATGAATGTCATGCATGCTAGATGTGTAGCACATTATTGCAATATCTTCTGTGAATAAAGATTTAATTTAGTTTCATTCCGTCCTTTTTAGTATATTATATCTGTATCATTAATATATAACTATGTAATAATTGTCCGAACTAATTATGACATACTTTAAATTATGTATTCATTGTTATATACATTCATATAACTAATTGTGATATGATTATTTAATTATTTATCCATTGTTATGTATAATTATAACTTACCACGCAACATTGTTATCGTTACCGTTATTTTGGACATTATTGCAAATTAAAAATATTCAACATGATTTTATAGTTGTTTTTCTTTATTTCTAAAGTTCCGTAAGTTGAGATTATTTAATATGATATAGAATGATTTTGATTTTGACGACGAAACTTTAACACTATAATAAAATATATCTAATTTTACCTTTTTCATGTCATGTGTGAAATAACAAGCAATGTCTGCTATTATTCTTAATTGCTGAAGAAATCTTACTTCACTTACTACACTTATGCAAAACAATATTCAACAAGTTATTGGTTGTTGTTTTTTCGTACAAAGAGACGTAAATAAACTTGAACTTCCTTCCTTGATATGATGTCAAGGAAACACCAATGCCTTGTAACTGTTACGGCGATAATTTCAGGTATTGGCTTAAAAGGAAAATTTGCACACACAACAAGGAAAATGCTGATATTGTCCATGTTCCTCATGAATTCGACATTCTTATTGTGCTTGGTCTTGAATCTGGTCTGTAAAATGCATTTGTCTATAAACATCTTATGGTCATGGAACGTGAAGGTAAAATATCACAAATCGTCACGCTAAAGGAAAATAAAATTCATTAACATTGTCTGTGTAGAGCAGATATTGATAAATGCTGTGAGAAAGAACAGTGACAATATTCATAAAAAAATCTCTCAGATGGGTATTCTTAAGGAATATATCGAAAGCCAAACATTGAGCTGTACATATGAAGTAGATGATAATTCATATTCTCAAGAAATAGTAGTGGATAGATAGTAAGAAAAACAAGAAGAAAAACATTGAGCAGTTAATTGTTACACTACAAAATCGAAAAAAAAAATTAGAAAGCTTTCCCACATGGCCATTTTGTTTTGTTCATTAAATGAAGCCGCTTTTGAAAAATGGTCTCTGATCACATGTAGAAATGAAATGGCAACTACAACGTTTCTCCTGCTGCTTCCTAGATTTCTAAATCACTGACGAGTCATTGAAGGACGAAACAACTGAATGATGCAATTTAATACATTGTTGGCTTTGTTGTATATAATTGGTATAATTGGTATTTTGTACAATTCTTCAAGAAACATCACATAATGCTAGTGCATATGTGAAATTTTTGAAAAATATATATTTAAAATATATATAAACTATATATAACATATATTTAAAGCTTGTTTATTTCACTTCAGAAATTGTTTACAGGCATATTGAAAAAGTACCTTTGAATATACGACATTAATTATAATTTCTGATGAAAAGAGGTGTTTTAAGGGACAAAATGCTTCATTTGAATCTATTTAAAGAATCATTGAATTTATTGAATTTGCATTAATGTTCACCTGTAATACAATGTAGTTGATATAAGTACACGACGTCAGTGATTTTGACGTGCAATAAACTTAAGAAAACGTACTTGATTGTTTCTTTCCTTTTGTAAGAAAAAATACATGAATATTCAAGTACCCTACATCTTGCTTTTAAAGTACCATACTGACTTAGCGTAACAGGTAAGACATATGATTACGTTTATTGTTGTTACATACATTAATTAGCACAAACTGAACATAAACTTATGTGTGTTGAATATTACCTGTCTTAAACCTGTTCACGAAGTCTTCCTGTAGAGACAGATGATTAAACACGTTAAGCTAACTTAACCCGGATGAATGTATATGCATCCACCCGTAGTAGCCAAAACGTATATTGGATATCGACTTTGAACAACTACGACAGTCACTAGACCAATTTAAAACATATCGTCATTAGTGTAGTACAGACAGTATAGATAAAATGTTACATCAGCTGTTAGTTGTATTTCTGGGATTATTGTATCTCAAAGGTAAGAATTTTTCGTTTTTGTTGTTTACGTATTGTTTGGGAGTTAGTAGTAAAATATGTAAATTTCAAAAATGCGCAAAAAATTACAGGGTTTATGTCAGTGGTTACCTTATGTATGTTACAAAATGTCAACACTGTGATATGGTAGGTTATTGTTGAAATTATGACAGTAGTAACGCCAAATGTCTTCAATTTATCACATAAGAAATTGTTTCATTGTGGCCTTATGTTTCAATACATATGGCGGGTGTTACCATTTATGACATGTCTTGGTTGCCTGTCTCTAAGAGAAGTTTTTTTGATCGATATGATAGTAATCATGCAATCTACATTGTACAGTAGTTAGACGTAGATTAACGTTTTGTTATAAGGTGTATAAACATTTAACAGATTTTATCAAATGCTGTTTTGAAACATCTTTTATTGTCCGTCAATGGAATGGTTATTTAAAGCTAACCAATGTCATTTACATATGACCCTGTATATAGTCTATTTTTAAATATATGAACTCTTACATATATGAATTAACTATAGTGAAAAAGACGACCGATTGCAGATTATGGAAATATGCTTTCACTGGACATATTAATTGTAACACAGGGAGCCTTGCCACCATCTGTTATGAGACAAATTACAACTATGGGTTCGAACGGACAGAACTTTTCATGTGTGGAGAAGATGAATACTGCTGTGGGACACAGAGAAACAGAGAGTGCTGCGAAGAAGAAGAGTATTTATCTAAATACATCTACAATAATAGATTATTCATATAAAGCTTTTAACTTAAAGATATTATAATAACTAAGGCTATTGAATCTATACTACAAAGCTTTACAAAAGTACCTTCTTTCAAAACTATTTTGAAATTACATACAGCAGAGCCGATTATTCAATTGAACATAAACCTACCGCTGTTTCGTCCTACTAGGACTCGATAGCCATGAAAAGTGCCTAAAAATTGAATATTGAATTTAATCCTACAACTTTTTCGTCCTACTAGGACTCGACAGTGATGCTAAAAGCCTAAAAATAGCTCCACAAACGCGGGCAATACCCCACGGCCTTATTATAAAGTTGGGTGCAGGGCTGAGATTGTGAAGAACCTTAAAAGGCTGTGTAGGTCCATAGACCCAACATGTCCAGCGAAAATGGTGATCGCTGGTGATGTCGTTCTTGAGATAATTAGTGGAATGCAAATTCAAGAGGGCGGCCGTAACCGCCATATTGGATATCGGGCGGCGACAAAAAAATTGGGTTGTATAGGTCTATAGGCCCAACATCCTCAGTAAAAATGGTGACCACCGGTGTTGTCGTTCTTGAGATAATGAGCGGAATGCAAATTCAAGATGGCGCAGTCTGTGGGGTAAAAGTGAATATTGAATTTAATCCTACAACTGTTTTGTCCAGTAAGGACTCGACAGTGATGCTAAGGGCCTAAATGATGAATTGAACTTAATTCTGCACCTGTTTCGTACTACTAGGACTCGTCAGAGATGCATAGGGCCTAAATGATTGAATTTAATCCTACAACTGTTTCGTACACGTAGGACTCAACAGTGAAATTCGAAATTGGTCGAATCCAAGACAAATACAGTGATGGCAAGATTTCCTCGCTGTATTATGAACTATCTTCTCGGAGCGCTGATACAAATTATTGAGCGAACGGCACTAAGCTTACATATCGGAAGTCCCTCTTATTTTATCGATTGAGCGTCTTAACCTTAGACAATTAGTTTACTGTATCCTTTATATATGAATAGTAATGTCTTGTTATATCTTTAATCACTGTTATACAGGTAAAGTGTGATACCATATACATGTACATTTAAAAGAAACGCACACATATTCACAAGATACCTTGACCAGTCATGTGATCAAAACGGACACCACTTAATCTATACTACTATCATGTTAAAATTACACCATTTATTCCTATATTCGAAAAGGTGATATATCACATTCATATATCGGTATGAGATTTTGTTGATTTAAAAAAATCATATCATTTTAATACTTAATCATTTAAAATGTACTTTTTTACAAGCGAGATATATCATTATTGAGATCAACATCTGTATATTATAAATCGCTGATGAATTCTATGAATATGTATGTTTTATAAACAGTGGGTTATTTTCTTTTGTTCAAGTGTGACTGGTATCATCATAGGATGTGTGGTAGGATTGGTGATCCTTATTATAGTGGTGATAGTCGTTATATGCTTGTTGAAGAATTGTAATGGGGTACAGAAAGGCGTGACTATCAATCCATATCCAAATGGAATGACCGGGGGAGTTGTTATGCAGCCACAACAATACCAGACTAGTAAGTCACAGTTGTAAGACTGTCTGTTTTCTTTATCGCCTCCTATTTTCCTTCGGTCTTATCGTTAACATCTGCCATTGTTTGTGATTTAACATTCACATCAACGTAAAATTTGACTGTCCTCAAGTTCAATACAGATTCTGCTTCGATGTACAGTCAAATCTGTCTTCAAATGCCACTCAACTGACTGGTGGCCATTACCACAAGTTTGACTGTAGATCAATATTAAGTTGTCCACGTTTAAAATTGGTTTGATAAATGTTAGTAAGCGTACCGTTAAAACATCTTTCACGTACCAGTCAAAATATTACTTGCAGGGTTACTTCATACGATATAAAGTTTCGAGCATCTGAGGCCTAAAGTTTGATGTTTATAATGGAAAGCAAGATACTATGAAATCATATATATATATTCGTGGAGCTGAAATTTAGGGTTTTTTTTCAAAAACATACAGTTTTGTGCGCACTTGCTTTCGTAGTTAAAGTATCGCCACCAAATCTGTATCATAACCCATGGCAAGTTTCATTTTTTATTTTTAGTGGACAGATAATTAAGAGTGCTCACAAAATCAGCTTCGATATGAATTCACCACAGTTTATTAACAAAACAAAGTTGAAATTCAAAAAGAAAATTGAAATCATAATTATTAATTGGCATGCAGCACAATGAAATCTACTTCCAGTATTTGGTAGATATCGACGGATATGGTGACATTACAGATAGATCCTGATACATTATCGGTCCAGATACATATATTGGAATTTAGAGATCCGAAATCTTTGCTACCAAATCAGGTTTTCTTTTCAACGGTTCAATGCCCTTCATGTATGAATAATGAAACACGAGTAATAACTAGTCTGTTTTCACATTTTCATCTTTTTTTCAGCTCCTGTGACCAGAATGCAGCCTCTCACCGGCAACTACATTATGCCTCCAGCACAAAATAACACAGCTTACACAGTACAATCTCATATAGCGCCTCCCATTAACGCGGAATCAAACGATGTCCCACCTCCATTTAATTACATCCCTCCACAACATGTCATGTGGCATTGATTATATCAAACTACCAATATGGATATCCACATACATAAGTCAACGATATTATTTTACCTTTGATCAGTATTACGGATGTCCTATCATTATTCTTTAACCCGTTTATATGCATATGGAACTGTTCCTCACCCTTACAGGTAAAGCTATAGGTATGGAACGGTTGCCAAGCATAAATTGGTATGTTTGTAATTGATATTTATATTCTATGCATGTGTGTATGTCATTTTTGTATGTAACGGGTACCTGTGTATTTTTATGTATGAAATGAGTACTTGTTTATTTATGTATGGAACAGGCACCTGCATGGTCTTTGTATTAAAGGGGTGCTTATCATTTTATGGTGATATTGAAAGTGTCGCTGCCCCTTCAATGTAGTCAACTGAAAAAGATTTTTATACTCGCTTTGTTATTTAGATTATAATTAAATTATTTCTATGATAACGTGTCCTTTGTAGCATTTGTGCTGTGGTTTTAGTATCTAAAACAATCATTTGTTAGAAATAACAAATGTACACTGAGCTGGTATTCAACTCATGTAGGTAATTGTTCAAACTAACAAGTCTAATTATAATAAATGTTTCCAATGTCAGTTTATCGAGCAACACATATATCGTACATTTCTTAACTTTGTTAAGTGACTTTGATATTTTCAATTATCTGCTGCAGAATATTTCCTTAGGAATAAATGGAAACTGCTATGTAAGATTTATATGTAAACTATTAACAGATGATGCTGAAGCTCGACTAATAGTGTGTGTTGTACCACTCCTATTATATCGTCATTATGTCATTGAATCGATTAAATAATATATCAATAAATCAATACGAAAACATATTGTTTATGTATGCTGGGTTATCATTTTGACCATCAGACATACAAACAAATTAGACAAGTCAGAGATTAATTTCTACTGGTCAAAGATGTTGTGTAATAGCATGGAAAGGAAACAAATTCTACAAGGAAATATAGAAATGACGTATCTACAAGCAGTAGTTTATAATACTGTTTCATTCATGTGTGTGTGTGTGTGTGTGTGTGTGTGTGTGTGTAAACGATCCTAGCAAAACATAATTATGCTACGTCATACTTTCATGTGAATTGTATATATGTGATATTGTCGAATAGGCTTGAATATGGGATAAAGAGTTTTTGACTAAGAGTAAGTGAATAGCACCTTTCAACAGAAGTTTAGAATTAGATTCAGTAGAGCCTAGTAATGAATTCTGCCCCTTAAGAACACATCGTTGATGCTAAGGGCCTACATTTTGAAGCTTAGGACGAGATTGAGGAAATCTAAAAAAATCGAACGATATGAATATTTCGTAATGATAATATATTTTATTATTACAAAAGAACGTCAGGTACATTTGTATATTCTGAACCGTTTCACTGTTCAAGTGAATTAACATTTGGCATAAAGGTTATGAAAAATGTCGAAGACTGTAATCCACCAACAGTGCCTTCCGCATGCAATCTCGTTTATTGTGCTAAAGACAAACAACTAAATGACACCTTTCTATATAAATTCCTTATTAGAAACAGCTGACCCAAACAATGAATTAAGCTGCACCATACAGTTGAAGGTCTCACTAAAGACACTCTCGACGAGAAAAAGTCTAATAAAATAAAGGCAGTCAAACTCGTTAATACAATTTTGTAAAAAAGTACTTTATTATGTAAAATTATTCAAACAAATTTCACAAAATCGATGAGATCACAAAAGTTAGGTATCACATGCATTATACCGACGAGGTAAGCTATGGATTTGATTTGAGTCTACCACGAATTGTCTCTCAACACTTCGTCTTTATCTTGTCAATCACGGCAGTTAATAACCTGTAGAAGAGTAAAATTGCATTAATGGTCAATATTATTCATACAAATGGTTACTTTTTCTGCTTGATACGAAATAGGAATGGTTACAAGGGACATACAGAAATACAGAAATATCTAGCATTTTCAAATAAAAAGTATTATAAACAGATAAATCCAACCAAAATGTTCCTTCGCTCTAAAATAATGCTGTAAACGTTCATATTTCAGTGGGAAATTAAATCTAGTACATTTTGTACTAAATGCATTGCGTTAAAATTTGATTGCGTTTAATGAACTTTCTGTCGTTGATAAAGCAAGTATTGATAATGCGCGAATTCATTACTGAACTAATTTGTTCAAAACTGATACTGCGCTAAAATTTGACGGCAACAAAATATGTATGTTAACAGCATATGATCAATATTATGATCATCGCAATCATAATTCCCATTACGTATATAACTACTCTGTGGTACCAATAAAACGGATCCTTACTAAACAGTTGATGAATAGACCAAGATTTGGGTAAACAGGAATACTAAAGTAATTATCCAATAAAAGCGGTTTGTATCACTACAGAAATCTCTGAACGAATTCCATATATATATATTGGTGTTTTAAGCAAGATTAGAAAAAGCAATGTAAAAAGGTTTGGACGGTAGGTGGAATAGCATCACTATGGGCAGAAACAAGAGAATTTGTATCTGATTACTACAAAGATGAAACAGGGTGAATAAGTGAACCTTATCCTCTTCAGGAAACTCACATAAACAGGCAGAGTTATCTGTAAGATGGTAATCTATTAATTAAATCTTAAACTAAGATAGTGAACTGTCACCAAGACTCAGTCTTTGTTTGATAAAGAAAACAGGCGTTTCCGAAGGTTCGCAAATGCAATTTTAATCACTGTTTGTGTTTAAGTCTTTTTAGATCTCTACCTAAGTGATGAGAGTGACCGAATCGTCATTTTTCGAAATACTCACCTCCATGTGTGGGAAATGTGGGGTAAGAAGGGTATCTTCGGGGATATTGGCGATAGCGGGGGAAAAGTCCTGGGTATTGTAGTCCACTGTCATATCCTGTTAGAAATGGAGACATGTGTTTTACAAATCATATGATGAAGCTTGTCATACAACAATTTATGGTGGTATACAACATAATCAATAGTGAGGAAATTTGCATAGTGATAAAGGTAAGTTAATTGAAATTATAAAGTCTTCATGTTAATTCGTAATATGGTTCACTAAGGAACAATGTGAAAGTCTGCAGATCAAAATGTATTACCATATTTGAAATTTAAAGAGACACTTTACGCAACTATATCCTTCTAGTTTATAAATATATATCTATATTTATATTTCATTCTTTCAAAATAACAACTTTCAATTTGGTATCACATCTAAATCACTAATTCAGTAGATATACACCCCAACGGTTACCATTGCCAAAACCCATTTACCATTGTCAGCAGGTGAAAACCATCTGTTTTATATAAGGCTTATAATTTCAAAAAGAATACTTATGAAAATATGATCAACTTGATAGAAAAAAGGCAATCGTTCAACGCTACAAATACGATAAAAGATTTTCAGGTGCATATTGATAAATTTTACAAAGCTGAGCTGATAACACACTTACTGTTTGATCTGTAAGTGCCGGTTGATCTCTTGTAACCTACAACATCAAAAATGACAAAAAATATTATGATCCACCCCTCAAAGTGTCTCAGAAAGCAAAACGTAAATTTCTGAGATGACAATTAAGCTTGATCTATGCCGCTGATTAGAACTAGAAAACTAGATAATATTCGGAATTCATGCTCAGAAACGGAATTTCGCTGTTTTTGATAATTCCCTGGTTGGCGAAAGAAAAATTGACTTATATGTAAATCTATAATCATTGTGGAGAATGAGGAAGTGGATGATCTTTACAGGTAACAAGTGGGATTGAAACAAAATAAAAAACAGATAAGTTACGTTACCTATAATCACAGAAAAAAATAGAAGGGATATTGTCAAAAACCAATACAAAATTTGCTCGAACACAAGTGACATGAATATAATTTCCAGGTGTCTACTCGGAGAAGTCCTTTAATATATAGGCGCATTCCTATCGCTTAAAGAAGTCTGTCCACAGTGAGATATCGTGTATGTTTATATCTACTATTAAGACAGCAATACTGTTGTAGTATGATTTTTCTACAAATCGATTAGGCTAGAACATAATTATTAAAAAATACTCACGTCTGCCTGCTGTTGGGTACACAACTTTCTGATGGATTGTTGGGTACAAGGCGGTGCCCTGATGTCTCAAAACCCTAGAGAGTCCTGATCTGACGAAAGGGTTTCCAACTGGTGTCACTCCGACGAAACCATTCCGGAGATATCCAGGGTTAATAGTGGCCACGAAGCCTTTACTGACGGGTGCCCTGTAGCCCGTGACCATCTGGTGGGTCCTTATTGGCTGCATGGGATATCCGTCCCAATCATCATCCTGTGCATCGTAGCTGGGAGGAAAGGTGTTGGCAAAAGTTGCCCCAACACAAACCGCCATAATAACTGCTAAGGTGAGACCGTTCATTCTGTATAATAATAAAACATGTAAACTCGAGTGAAAATGTTTGAATTTTAGCAGACATTAGATTTGATTTAAATTATGACAAAAGATATTATCAGAAAAGAGGAATTAGATATATCTAATTAATGCTTAATTCCTATAAGCAATGACATTAATTATGTTACGTTATACCAGCCTCCTTTAAAAAAGAGTTCCTCAGCAAGCAAGGGCGAAAAATTCTTTTTACTATTTGTCCATCCACAGACTTGTCCAATGAATAACGATCAATATTTCTAATGTTGAGGTAAGTTTATATCTTTTTTACATTTACTAGGTGAAATTTAATCCTCAAAAGTATAATGAACATGTTATCTCAAGGAGTTACATACCTGGTTATCTAGTGGATGGTTGATCTGAAAAGTGATACTTCAGCAGAACCTGTGATGTGTTTTTACAGCAAGAAACCAAGTCTTTATATACATGTCGATATCAGGAAATACGAGGATGACTAAGAATTGGGCTGCACTAAAACTACGTTTTTTCATATCTAACAAACGCAATGAATGAGTTATTTATTGGTGGTGTATAATTCATTCCTTCTTATGACGTCACGGAGTATGATCGAAGCTAATTATAATTAATTCATATAGTACTAACCTATGGGTCTCCTTGTGATAACATATGTACATTTTCTGAATGTTAATGATAAGGTGTTACGCTACGACACCAACAGGTGACACCACAACTCGACATTAAATTGATGTGTGGTCATAATAAGTTTTATTTATACAAGATTACATGGATGTATCAAATCGTTTACTTAAATACCCTAAAGTACTTAAAAACCTTACTTTAACAATGCTTGTCTTCAATGTCACTAAAAACAATTACTCATTATTAGTCTTCAAGAATGTTTTTCTAAAATAACAACGAAATACGTTAAAAAATGCTCGGTTTTTTTTTCGTGATTTCGCCCTGAAAAGAAAAAAAACTAACAAACCTTAATTCTCGTCCTTTCATATTTTCGTTCCGAAAATCATCACTTATATTAAATACGTTTTTTATTATAACCATGGGTTTGAGGTGAATTGTGTGTTTTTTCTTGTACCAAATGAGAAAGCTGTATATCAAATGTTTAAAAAGGTAAAGACGTGTTACTATTTCTTAGACTAATTGATATTTTCATGGCCTTGTTCAGATGGTTACCCTCTGATTGTAAAATTATCAGTTTGTGAAGTACAAATATCAGATTTCAAGTAGGTTGTTCTGGTGTTAATTATAAATCATTAATTACGATATGTTAATATAGAAATAACCTGTGGTGCAATGGTACAGAAATGGTATCACAAGTGTTCCGGACGAGTAAGCGCCTTTTGCATCATCGACGACATCCACAATAAAAGTTACATTTTCTTATTATTAAAGAAAATAAGTCGCGTCTAAATTTCGAGTTTTTAGTGTACTGAACTCATCGGATGATGAACATAATGACGACATATTTTTTATATCAACAATGCTGAGTTACAGGTTACAACTAAGGTGGCTGATTTATGTCGTTTCGTTATTTCGTCTTTTTCGCCTCGAAAAGACGAGAGTTAGCAAACTTTAATTCTCGTCACTTCGCCCAGAAATAAAACAAAATCAGAACAAGCAAAAATAAGACAACAAATGTACGCTGATAGGCAGCCTTGATATACGTCTTTCCGGGTTCATAAATCTTCAAAAGTCTTTTCATTTTTTTCATGTTTTCGCCCCGAAAATACGAAAATCAACAAATTTTGATTCTTGTAATTTCTTCTTTGCGTCCCGGAATGACGAGGATTAACAATCTTTTATTCTCATGTTTTCACCCCGAAAAAGACGAAAAATCAACAATACTTTACTTTTCGTTAATTCGTTTTTCGTCCCGAATGTCGTGAATTAACCAGTCTGAATGCTAGTCGAGAATTAACAAATCTTACTCTTTGGTTGAGTGAAAAGACGAAGTATCGAGAATTTAGGTTTTTGTTCTCTTTTCGAAATAACGAAAAATCGGCCAGTGCATACAGCATCTGTACATGATCAGACAAGGCAACAACAGGGAGAAGTTGATTTAATTGATTTGATCTGATTTGTCAGATTTCTGGGAAATATTCTTGATGATTTTTTCTTCTCATGTCTGGCTTGTTTATAACGACTGTATTAAAGGTAGTTTTATCAGAGGAATAGAAGTACGTAACTATTTCTATTTTATTCAGTAGTATAATCCTTTTGACGTTTTCTGATAACAAGCGTCATATTACACAGAAGACTGACGTCTATTTGTGATCACTGTTGTACAATCATAGTGACGACAACGAGAAAATACTATACAACGAAAATGACCTAGGTAAATTATGTGAGGTCGGACAGGTGTGAAACAATGTGATGTGACATGTTCTGATAGACAACAAAGGATGACGACTTACCTGTGTATAATTTATAAAGTGGGCGGTAAACCGATGCTTGTCTAATGTAACTGTGACGTAACAATATGATTAATTCAAAGCTTCAATCTGTATCGTACATGTCTTTTTCCTCTTCCTTATTTAGGTTACTATAAATACACATTAAATACCAACTCAAGCACATCTCCTGATTACAGTGTTCTCACTCGTAACAAACAAGGTATGTTTAAGCATTATACACAGAAAAGAAAATATAAGCCTTTTGTTATGTCTGATTTTAACTAAAGAATGGTTTTTGTAATATTTTTCTCCGTACTGTTGTCAACACTGTTCTACTTAGCTGTGATATCTGTCGGACGTAGTAACTGTTTCTATAATAGTACTCATCATTATTTCATTAAGTTGTAAAGTTTATTGTTGAATCTGTAGTATACGCAAACATTCTAAGAATTCGGATAATGGAAGATTTAATTAATTGCAATCCAAAAGATGAAAAAGTGTGTGTTCAAAATCTTATTGTACAAAAGTTGGATAAGAAAGGAGGTATTATGACATGTCCTTTTCACGCACGCTCACAATTCAGTGGTACTAAAATCCGCAAATGCTTTGTTTTAGGACAATGAACGGACTAACCTTCGCTTTAGTTGTCACGGTTTGCGTCGGGGTGACCTTGGCTACCACCTATCGTCCCACTTACCCGACACATGACGATGACTGGACCCTGTACCCAAGGGAACCAATAAGGAATGGTCAGTTAGTAAAGGGTTACAAGGGACCAGCTAGGGCTGGATACATTGGTTCCGGTTCTGTATATCCCGGATATGTAAGGACAGGGTTTCTCGGAATGGGACAAGGCGGAAACACTTACGTCGGATCAGGACTTTCAAGGGTTTTAGGACACCAGGACACCATAATGTATCCTACCCATCACCAACAAGACGCATTCAAGCATGCGGGGAGACGTGAGTTATTTTTCTTACTAAATAAAATATCGTCAATGATAAAAATGTCGACCAACTTTGACATTTTCGCAGCTTGGTCTTGTTTCATGCATTTACACCAATGACGTGTTTTTGGAGGAGGAAATAGATGTAGGATACAAATAAATTAATTATTTGGCATCTCTATACGAATAGTGGCACTTATCAGGAGATAAATGAAAATTACGATTTTTTGAAATTATTTCGCAAGTGCACGTTCCCATTTTAAGTTTTATATATCTTTTAATAAATTTTTGTTTTTCTCATTTGAATTTTAGGCTTCAAAATTACGGCCCTCTATTTAATATGTATTACTGATGAGTCGTCAAAAGACGAAACAGATGTACAACGCAGTTTATTTTATAAACAGACTTAGTTAGATCAAATTCTAAGTTTATATTGAAAGATGCTGTTCAGGTGTCGGACTTTTTTTAAAAAAAAATATAACGATAACAGTACGATAACTGCATGTTCTATTGAGATATAAAGGCATACAGTTTTCTGAAGAGTTATTGACTGACGTAAATCAAATTCGAGCAAACCTTGAATTCAGTACCTAAAATGAGAACAATTCTATTATCTGTAACATGGGCGAATAATTTCACATGTACACTGAAAAATATGAGGCGCCATTTTGAATTGGAGTAAGGACACAGGTTACATTCACTTTATTACTTGGGGTAGTTAGAAGTATTGACTATAAATGATTTAATGCTGACGGCAGATTTACAAAAGGTAAAAAATAAGGCACTTTATATGGAGCTCGTTATGGTCGATAACAGTATTGACAAATAAATGGTTTGGTGATTGTTATTGATAACTATTATTTTACTTTCAAGGTTATCGACGTTCAACTGGAGATTACCCTACAAATTGTAAGTTGGATCATATTTCTAAAATAAAGCTACTTATCAATATTTTAATCTTTGTATTTTATAAACAAATTTCATTTTAACGTTCAAAAACCAATGAACTGTCTATAGAAGCATGATAGTTCACGAATCTGTCTGACTTGGAATTTGCAAGTAACTCATCGTTTTCTATGCATTACAGCATTCGACGTATACAGACGATACCCGGATGAACACCGTAGATACCCGGGTGTCTTTCCACAGTACACAAACAGATACCCGACAAGGACAGCGTATAGGCGTAAGTATTCTGTCAAATCCTTTCAAAAGCATGAGAGTTGATTCTGACACGAGTTTGACGGGTAATCCTTGGTATTCTCTTTTATCTGTTTCCTGAAGTTTTAGCATGCAATCTGGAATGTAGTCGCGTCGGTTTCTACATACAGTCTCTGATTACATATGATCATTTCCCAGGTAATTTCTGATTACATGTGATCATTTCCAGGTAATTTCTGATTACATATGATCATTTCCCATGTAATCTCTGATTATATATGATCATTTCCCAGGTAATCTCTGATTACATGTGATCATTTCCCAGGTAATTTCTGATTACATATGATCATTTCCAGGTAATCTCTGATTACATGTGATCATTTCCCAGGTAATTTCTGATTACATGTGATCATTTCCCAGGTAATCTCTGATTATATATGATCATTTCCCAGGTAATCTCTGATTACATGTGATCATTTCCCAGGTAATCTCTGTTTACATGTGATTATTTCCCAGGTAATCTCTGTTTACATGTGATCATTTCCAGGTAATCTCTGATTACATGTGATCATTTCCCAGGTAATTTCTGATTACATGTGATCATTTCCCAGGTAATTTCTGATTACATGTGATCATTTCCCAGGTAATTTCTGATTACATGTGATCATTTCCCAGGTAATTTCTGATTACATGTGATCATTTCCCAGGTAATTTCTGATTACATATGATCATTTCCAGGTAATCATTACATCATGTGATCATTTCCAGCTAATCTCTGATTACATGTGATCATTTCATTTCCCAGGTAATTTCTGTGATCATTTCCCAGGTAATTTCTGATTACATGTGATCATTTCCCAGGAAATTTCTTTTTCAATGGCTCCATTTCCAGCTAATCTCTGATTACATGTGATCATTTCCCAGGTAATCTCTGATTATATATGATCATTTCCCAGGTAATCTCTGATTACATGTGATCATTTCCCAGGTAATCTCTGACTACATGGGATCATTTCCAGGTAATCTCTGATTACATATGATCATTTCCCAGGTAATCTCTGATTACATGTGATAATTTCCCAGGTAATCTCTGACTACATGGGATCATTTCCCAGGTAATCTCTGATTACATGTGATCATTTCCCATATAATCTCTGTTTACATGTGATCATTTCCCAGGTAATCTCTGATTACACATGATCATTTCCCAGGTAATCTCTGATTACACATGATCATTTCCCAGGTAATCTCTGACTACATGTGATCATTTCCCAGGTAATCTCTGATTACATGTGATCATTTCCCAGGTAATCTCTGTTTACATGTGATCATTTCCCATGTAATCTCTGATTACATGTGATCATTTCCCAGGTAATCTCTGTTTACATGTGATCATTTCCCAGGTAATTTCTGTTTACATGTGATCATTTCCCAGGTAATCTCTGTTTACATGTGATCATTTCCCAGGTAATCTCTGATTACATGTGATCATTTCCCAGGTAATCTCTGTTTACATGTGATCATTTCCCAGGTAATCTCTGATTACATGTGATCATTTCCCAGGTAATCTCTGACTACATGGGATCATTTCCCAGGTAATCTCTGATTACATGTGATCATTTCCCAGGTAATCTCTGATTACATGTGATCATTTCCCATGTAATCTCTGATTACATGTGATTATTTCCCAGGTAATCTCTGTTTACATGTGGTCATTTCCCAGGTAATCTCTGATTACATGTGAATATTTCCCAGGTAATCTCTGATTACATGTGATCATTTCTTATAAAATGTAAACATGAAGATTAAAGTGAATATGTTTGCACTAATATTGATTGATATTGTGCCCAATGGGCATTTCTTTCGATAACGTTGGATTTTATAGATTAGGCCCCTAGCATCACTGAACTAGTCCTAGAAAGATGAAACAGCTGTAAAATGTAGTTTAATTCATTATTTAGTACTACTGTACCTGATTCTAGATTTATATTCAAAGCTGCTGTTTGTATGTGTAGATTTGGTACTATCCTCAAATTTATATTCAAAGCTGCTGTATGTATATGTGCATTTGATACTATCCTCAAATTTATATTCAAAGGTACTGTTTGTATGTGTGCATTTGATACTATCCTCAAATTTATATTCAAAGGTACTGTTTGTATGTGTGCATTTGATACTATCCTCAAATTTATATTCAAAGGTACTGTTTGTATGTGTGCATTTGATACTCTCCTCAAATTTATATTCAAAGGTACTGTTTGTATGTGTGCATTTGACACTATCCTCAAATTTATATTCAAAGGTGCTGTTTGTATGTGTGCATTTGATACTCTCCTCAAATTTATATTCAAAGGTACTGTTTGTATGTGTGCATTTGTACCAAATTAAAATTTGTTCCGTCTCTTTTATAATTGTAGAACGATTTGTGTACTAGGAGGATGTCATGGCTGAAATACGGAAAATGAAATCTTCATAACTACATCCACTCTACAAAATCCAAACCTTTTTTGTGATACTATTGTGATGTGATATTTTGATAATAAAGCATGAAATAACTTCCTTGTTATTTGTGTACTTTTTTTATAAATAAACCCCGAAATAAATAAATAAAAACCATGGAGGATTCAGAAAATCAAGTCTATAATCAATCACCAGTAATTCTAAACAGTTAAGCCCCCACCCCCACCCCAAAAAACAGAAAAAAAAACAAATAAATATATTGACATGTAAATATCTAACAAATGTTTATGATAAAAAAAGTTACAGTAAAATACGGGTACTGCCAATATCAGCAAAACATAGAAAGTACTAAATACTTTTATGGAAAACAAACGTGATTTATCAAATTATATCATTGACAAAAGAAAAACTAAATAGAATCAATTTTTTAACGAAATAAATCTCTTGATACATTGTATGTATGTATGTATGTATGTATGTATGTATGTATGTGTGTATGTATGTGTGTGTATGTGTGTGTGTGTGTGTGTGTTTGTGTGTGTGTGTGTGTGTGTGTGTGTGTGTGTGTGTGTGTGTGGGTGGGTGGGTGTGTATGTGTGTCGATGTATTATGTATGTATGTATAACAAACATATTTTATGATAGAGTTACAAATAGCAATATGATAAAGATATCGTACAGTGTATACGAGTAAATCTATAGTATAACTACACTACACCAGTGTTTCAGCCTGAAGCGCTGAAGGCAGTGTTATCACGAAACTTCGGCCACGTGTACCATACTATAACATAAATCACAACAATATCTATGTTATTTCAGCATGCAACGTTGTGATGTAAAAGATTGAAATCTAAACTGTAACAAAAAAGGAAAGATCTATTGCTCCCTACCATAAGAAGGGAACATAGATACATCTCCTGGGAGTATGTTTTAGGTATGATTTGTGTTTACATCAGTCATTTGGATCATTTTCTCAACGTTCAGTAACATGCTTGGATTTTGTTGACATTGTCATGCTAATAATGTATTATATGCACGGTTACGTATAACACAAAGCCTACCCATTACTTCTTTGACTGTGAGGTAGAAAATGTGATCTTAAACCAAAACGTCCCGACTTGAAATATGGTTCTCCATCTTGGCATGATAATTTGGTAGGGGGGAAAACGTGATTAGGATCAATTTCACATTGTTTCAATTTGTTTAGTGAGAAAAAAATAACATGATAGGATTGAAAATTATACCTATGGGGATTGGAAACGACTTATGGGTATCCCTCAAGACAATATGACCTTTGAACTTCGATGATTTAATTGTCTGAGGAAAATAATCTCAAGCATAGATTCATTATCTGTGAGGTTTCTCTGATCGATTGGGTCAGTGTTTTGAATGGGTTTGATATTGTGTCGTACGTGTTATAGGAAAACATTAGCTACATTCGGGGACCTGTCCAGCAACATGGACTGCTTCAGTCCTAGGAGACGAGGGTTTCAGCAGGTGTATGATACAGGTAAGCAGTAGGACGATAGTCAACACACTGCATGATATAAAAACAAATGTGAACTGTACAACGTGATTACTTAATGATATTGAAATAGCATAGTTAAAATAAAAAAATATTTATGTCACAGCAAACATAAAAAGTTTTATTGATGAATGTTCAAGTATTTACATATAATATCATTTTTCTATCTTTTCACCCATTGAAAGTCTATACTGTATAACATCAGAAATGAACGATCACATCATTAATTCATAAAATACATCTACCTGTAACCCAAGTGCATGCAATTAGCCGAACTATTGTTTGTATACAGCACTACTAAAGGTCATACGTATTGGCGCGTTATTTCAAAATGCAACAAAGAGAAATAGATTGATTTTATGAGCACATCAACTAAATGTGCAATAAGAAAATACATATTGTTGGTCTCCTTTTCAAATAAACAGATGTATCTGCGCCACCGCTCAAACTGTGACGCGCCAAGGTTTACGCCTTTTACTTTGTCTGTTGAGACAATCTCATATATAACTTAACAGGTGCCTCAGATAGTAGTCAGTGTAGGTCGCCTAATGGCTGCTCAGATAGTAAATACATGTCGCCTAACGACTGCTCAGATGGTAAACAGTGCAGATTGCCTAATGGCTGTTCAGATGGTAAACAGTGCAGATTGCCCTATGACTGCTCAGATGGTAAACAATACAGAATGCCCAATGGCTGCTCAGATGGTAAACAATACAGGTCGCCTAATGGCTGCTCAGATACTAAACAGTGCAGATTGCCTAATGGCTGCTCAGATCGTAAATTGTGCAGGTCGCATAATGGCTGCTCAGATAGTAAACAATACATGTCGCCTTATGACTGCTCAGATGGTAAACAGTGCAGATTGCCTAATGGCTGCTCAGATCGTAAATTGTGCAGGTCGCATAATGGCTGCTCAGATAGTAAACAATACAGGTCGCCTAATGACTACTCAGATGGTAAACAGTTCAGATTACCTAATGACTACTCAGATGGCAAATAGTGAATGTTGTATAATGGCTGTTCAGATGGTAAATAATACAGGTTCCCTAATGGCTGCTCAGATGGCAAATAGTGAATGTTGT